TCGACACTATGGTGCCGATTGAATCTACGATAATATTACATCAGGGTGTTGAATGTTAGCGATTTAGACAGTTCTGGGTACATATTTTCCTAAAGTCTTCTAGCGTGACTGATCAAGAGACATCCGTTTTGTGAATACAAGGCTCAAACAATAATGCGTAACGTGATTTTGTAAATTCATATATATCTGATATCAAGTGATCGACCTAGCACTAAAAGCTTCTCGTACTGTAGTATTACTAAATAAGGTTTAGACATGCAAATACATGTTTTCAGGCTCAAAAATAAATTCCAGAACGAAGCCTTTTAACCCTTATTTAATATATTTTTCTACATCTTCCCATGCAGTCTTATTTCAGGCATTAACTTTGCTCTTAGACGAAGATTAGATTAACTTGAAAAATTTAAGACTTTCTAATTATGAAGATTTTAGTTAAGTTATGTTTTACGAAATTTCTAGGTACACCTACGTTTTAGAGGCAATAGTGTATGGCCAAGCTGAAAACTCATAAATTACACTCATCAAAAACTAAAATCTGATTCAAAATACAAAACTACATCATCCTGATCGAACAAGAAAGACTGACATAATTCACCTATCCTCGAACATTTTATGGTTTAAACCAATATTTTACTTGGTGAGACCAAGCAAAACTAATACTCGTTTATGAAAGATCTTACCTCCTAAAGTATTTTATATTTAAGGTCCTTGTGCATTAGCCTATAACTAATTATGGATCTTCGCCTTAGTAATCAAGAATATATGAAATCTAATATTATACTCTAATAACTAGCAATAATTAGCTCGGCTATCTGTTTTATGAATTCCCTACTATCAAAGCACCGTGATCTCAAAGTATTCCAAAATTGTGTACAGTTAAGATATTCGCCTAATATAGCGCATGCTTGGATGTTCTAAAAGCATCAATCAAGACACAAGTTTAAAGACTGCTAGACATTTCAGTTTATTACAAAGTCTGTCGATATTTTCATAACTTAAGTATGTTTTTTATGCCATTCCAGTCGACAACTCCTCCTTGGATAGATGTTGTACCGCAATATAAACAAGAAGCACCAAAAACACCGCCTCATATAATTCTGCACTACGTGGCCTTCAAAACAGCCTGGGATTGGTTGATACTCATTTTGACGGGTTATACTGCAGTTATGGTGCCTCTAAATGCAGCCTTCCGCAGCAAGACAATGGAAGATGTTATTTTTCTTGTAATTGACAGTATTGTAGACGTAATATTCTTTATTGATATTGTGCTCAATTTTCATACAACTTTTGTCGGACCGAAAGGTGAAGTGATCAGTGATGCCACTATAATACGGATAAACTATCTCAAAGGATGGTTTATTGTAGATCTTTTATCCTGCCTTCCATACGACGTATTCAATGCCTTCCAACCAGAAACTAATCAGGTGTGTTATTTTGTTTAGTACGGCAAAAAAAGCATTCAGTTCTTTCCTTTTTATCACTTTGTTCCGTTTCGATTCATGTCCCTAGTTAGAGTTTAAATGGATTATATTCTTTTTATTCGTTATAACAATATAGATCTATAAGTGCCTTTATATCGCATCATTGAGTGTGAAAAATATTAATAATCTTTACTAAGACTTTTGTTGTGTTTACAACTATTTTCATTTATTTCATCATCAAGACCTTCTTTGCAAGAAATCTGTTCTAGATCTTTTATATTGAGAAAGAAACTATTGTGTCCTAAAAGCAAAAATAATTGCGTCAAGTTTATGATTCATATACATCCATTTTTATTGCATATTATTAACATACTTCACATAAATAATATGAGAGATATTGCTCTAAGTGGAATAATATGAAAACTGAGCGGGGTAATCAAAATAGATAGATCCAAAATAAATTAGTGAATAAATATAAGCCTGGATAATATATGCCACTATGCATAATTAGCAAATTAATCACAGCTAAATTACTTCGCATCGCATACTTCACTATCACTTTTGAACGTTGGCTGATTCTACTGATATTATTGCTTCAAGGAGAAAACCCATTTTGCAATTGTAGTAATATTGACTTATATAATAAATGATATAAAATGATATAAAACAAATTTTTTTACGAATGTAGGCCGACAATTAATAAAAATAGATTTTAAAGTGGTAATTGTTTGCCATTATAGTATTGCCCTCCTTTATCTAAATATTCGCTTTCAATATCAGTATTTATATTTTGCTTAGAAAATTGCTTAATTATAATATTGTCTGCAACATTAAAAAAATTTCGAAAGCAACCCCGAAATAATTTCTAAGATAATTTATTAAGATCAGTCTTGATCTATAAATACTATACTCACTCAAACTATAAGGTATATTTAAGCACAAAACCTTTTTTTTCTATAGATTTCATCAAATTGTATGCTAGTTAAATTTATCATATATGAGTAGAGTTTAGCATCCAATTTAAAAATTTCTTGGTCTATTAAGTTTTTCCTTGGATTTTGTCTTTGTTGATTTTGATTGGTGTATTGCTGCTACTAACTCCGGCAGATAAAAGCCACTTTATGAACAAGTAAATTAGTGTTTTGACTAACTAATTTGTCCTAAAGTTTAAGATATCTTAAGGCTAAAATGTTAGAATAACTTTAGTTCCTAATAATAATATAGAGTTATGTTTGATTTTATGTTGGTATTAAATGTCTTTCTAATTTCGCATGGCCTAAATATCAAAATTGCAAGTTATTTATGGAGAACCTATGCTTAATTTGTGATTAATGTATACTAGTGTAGAGGATATTAACAATATAAACATAATAGAGTTTCGTAGTTGGATTTTTTTTGCTTCAGCATATGAGTGAATGAGGAATTTTTATAAAGCAAACTATGTGTCCACACATTTAAGTTTCTACGAGTCAGAAATTGCCCTTGTCATAACTTGCAATAGTGCACAATTGGCACTCCAAAAGTCTGAATAGTTCACCTTATATTTGGACCTTAGGCAAAAAGAGCTTAAGCATTCTTGGTTTACAGAGCTATGATGCGTACCTTTTGGAAGTTGGGATGACATTTTGCGATGAGGATCCAATTTTACATTAGTCGTGACTAAGCTCAATCGCAAAGTGCAGAAACCTTTAAAGTCGTATAGACTGAAATATTTGAACAGAATGTAAATGGTAATTGTTAATAGGGAAAGAAGTAGAAGTTAAGAATCTCATTCAAATCATCATCACAAAATAACCATATTTTTGTTCGCAGTGCTTTGTTAATTATTGGATTATACAAATCCTGTCAACTAATTAAATTTTATACTTTTTGGGCCATAAAAAT